ATATATATAATTAACATATAATAATAATAACAATTTCAAAAAATATTCACAAAGCAAGTTTTACGATTATTTAAAAGACTTCTTTTACATTTATATTTCCATTATATGAGAGAAGAAGAATAATTTAATTTAACAAGGAAAAAATTGTAAATCTATAATTTTATGGATTGCAACAATTAAAATATGAGAAGTAAGACTTAAGTAATTATTATAGATTGTAATGAATTTTGAAGATATCTCCAATTTATATATACAGCTTAATAAGAAAAATATCTAAGTGAGTATATCCTGATCTCGCAATAAACGATTAATTTAATCTCGACTTCGTACGTGTATACGTATATCTAAAGAAATATAATATACACTGATATCACAGAATAAGATATATGCATTATTAATAATTATGTAAATGCTATATGAAAAATAATTTTATATCAGCCCGATTTATGATATTAGATAATACGCAAGTAGCTAACATTGGAGCACAATTAATGCCGATACTTAATTCTGAGATCTGCCGATCGTTACGATCTCCAGCCTTAATTTGTTTTCTTTTCAAACGCGATGCATTAATAATAAATTCGCAATCGCACATGATACGTTATTCTTTAGCAATAATATACAGCTCGATAAAGAGACGTATCTCATTTATCATCGTCTTTCAAAAGAGATTGCTTGTTCCAAAAGGTGTGTTCAATTAGCTATGATAACAGCAGCTAGTACTAAGGGATTATTTTAGTTTGTAAGGCTAAAAATTACATGCTTATTCAGGAATTTTTTAATGAACGATATTAACGCGTGAGTCGGACTGCAGCTTTAATCCTTATTACTTGTATATCACGGTTACAAAAGCTACTTTACGCAGGTTTCGTGATATCACTCGGTAAACCGTACTATATACTTTACGCTTCTCTTACGCTTACTACCACGTAGTAACATCGTCGATTCGAGAAGAAACTTTGCCGATAGGCGTGAAAAAGATTATATCCGTGAATCCGTGATCAGTGGCTTCTTAGGCTTTCGAAAAATATCCTCATGCTCATTTTATCCTGAGTATTGTTCATGTTATAACGAGGTTTATCTTGTCTTAAAACGTGTTTGCTGTTTTAGTGGAAAATATGACAATGTTTATTGAAGTTGCGTGTTATCGTGTTCATTTTCGAAGTTCGACACAATGGAAATATATGACAATTTCATTTTATCGACAATTTAAAGAGAACATAAAGATAACTTCAAAATATTATGTCATGTACGATTGGCTTTATTTCATTAATACAAAATTAATTATTATATATCCATTCTATCCTTTAAAATAAAAACAAACAAAATATACG